GGGTCTGACCAAGACTTTCTGAGTTGGCGCCGCCTCCAGAAGGTGATGGAGCCGAAACCTGGAGGATGAACTGGAGTGTCCGGGCTGGGGCGCACCCCGGACAGAGAAGACCACACGTATAAGGCCCCTGAGTGGACCGAGGACAAGCCACAGGGGCTGAGATGGCTGATGGGCAGAAAAGCCCAGAGAATGAGGGGTGGCCTCGTGCCGAGTTTCTCGGGTCCGCCTGCCGGTGTTTTCATGTGTGGAGGGTCCTGAGTGTGCTGGTCGTAGGGCCCACGTACTTTGACGTGGTAAAGTGAGGGTCTGAGTGCCCCTGTTTGGGAGCACTGAGGTCGTGTGAAAGGCACTTGATGGGTTTGCACAGAGTGAGAGCCAGTGGGAGTAAGGAGGGCCGATTCCACGCTCTGAGGACAGCTCTCGAAACCCCACACAAACCACCTTTCACAGCTCAGTTCTTTTTACACCTAAACCCAGCTCAGCTTCCTGATCGGCACCCAAGTTCAGGAAGCCAAGAAATTTGTTTTACAAATAGCGGCTTTCTTTTTCCATCGAGTGTTCTTTGGTGTGCTGCTGGCCTAGGTGCGCTGGCCTGCAGACCGGCTGCTCGGGGTTGCGCCGGTCGACCTGCTCCACCTGCCGCTCTGGTGTGCGTGGAGAGAGACGAAGAGGGGGCTCACAAACGTCCAGCCATTGGTGAAGGGACTCGGCCCTTGGAGCAGACTGCACGACAGGGAGACCGCCGAGGCCCGGGAAGGTCAGGGTCAAGGCCTCTTTGTCAGGAAAGGAAAAGCTGCCACTTGCTGGATGCCTACCCTGTCTGCACGCACTCACCAGTGTCCTCTCTAGTCTCCCCACAGCGTCCCCCAAAGAGCAGGGGCGGGAGGCCTGCACACTTGCCCTGCTGCAGGTGTTTTCGGGGGGCAGAGTGCCTGGGCAGGAGGAGAGCCCCGAGTGCAAGTGGCGGTGGGGCGGAGGGAGGGGCGGCCTGCGACTGCCCCTGAGGGTCTCCCCAGCTGCATCTGGGGCCTGTTTGGGTGGGGTTCCAGGTGAAGACAGCAGTCCCTTCAACGTCAGGGCTTCCCAGAAAGTCTGCGTCTGGATCACAGAGTTTTAGAGCTGAAAGGGGCATTAAACAGTATCTCATTTAAATCTCTCTCTTTTTTTTTTTTCCACACACGCCTTACCAGGGAGAAAGGAATTGTGCAGCGTAGCTTGTCAGCGGCAGAACCGAGGGGACCCCCAGCTCTGCTACACCTGGCGCGGTGCTCTTTCTATTAGTCACACCTACAAACTGTCTTTTTCCTGTTTCTTGACATCGTGTCTTTGGTTCATGCATATCAGTGTGTTGCATACAGGGTAATATTAGGAAATCACTTTGGATTGTTTTATTTCTGGGTAAAACCCCGGGAGACTTGAGAGCTGCCCTGTGATCCAGCCAGGTGGGCCGACTCACCCCGTGTCAGAATCGCAGACGGAGCACCGGGAAGAAGTCAGAGGAGTTTCGTTTTCTCAGAAATGAAACTTGTAAGACCCGAGACCGTCAAAGGCCACCAACTGCGGTTTGGTCCAGCAGCTGGTCACAGCAAGTGGCCATGAGGTGATGGTGCCTGCTCAGTGGTGTTTTCACCTGCTGCACCGAACTGTCGCAGTAAAACTCCCAGCACCGGCGAGGGTGCGTGTGCCGGAGAGACGCGCTGCCACGCACAGCGGCCAGAAAGTGAACGGGCCAGACTTTCCAAAGGGATGCTTTGTCCTGAGCACCGAAAACCTGGAGATGTACCTGTTTTTGACCCAGTGACCCTGACATTTCAGCCTAGTGCCGGCTTCTACTTTTCCGCAGGGGACTCTGGCAAGTAACCTTCCAAGTTCAAAGAACTCATCTGTGTGATGTTGAGAAGAACACTGAAATCGAGAGCGTTCATGGCATTTGTCACCACAGGTTTGGGTTCTCATTGGAAGGATCTGGCAGGCGCTACAATGGCAATTTTTGTATTTTTTGACTTGCACTTTAAGTAGTACATGCACCTTGGAGAAGGTGTACATTGTAATCAATGAATAAACAGCACTCAGATCAGCCCAGCTGCACGGAATCTCGTGAGGTCCAGGAGTTGTGTCTGTTACGGCATTTTGTCTCTACTAACTAGATAGTGCCTGGCTTCATGAATACTCGTTGAGTGAATGAACGGTAGATGGGTATTTCTAGAAAATGATTTGGGAAGATAGAAAACCATTATTGTTCTTCATTTTTTCTATGAGCATCATGACTACAACATACTCTAAAGACTAGTACTTTGTGTTTCTTAACTCAGAACTACGTGCCTGGATTACTGATGTAACGAGCGGGACCTGACCCGAGGACAGTGCTGCTGGGATGTTCACAGTTACCCACATGCTCCCATTTATCAGGGGGAAGACAGAACTCTTCCTCCCGTGTAGACGTTTCCAGAAACATCACGGACGTTGCACTGGGTCAGCGGACATGACCGAGTTACTGCCCTTGGTGGTGATTGGGGTACATGATGCAGGCTCGTGTCAGGTGCTAGTCAGTCAGCAGAGAGAAGACAGTGGGCTTGTTCTGAATGCTCGTTTGGGGGTGCTGCTGATACCTCATCGAAGACCGAGGGTCCAGTTTTAGGTGTAATATGAACCCCTGGCCTTTGAGTTAAAGAAAGGCTCCTTTGAGGGCAGGCTTTTCAAGGCTCTGACTCCAGTTCCTGGAAGAACTCGCTGGGGCATAATGGCTGCCTATGCTGATTTAATTTCGGTTTTGGTTCTAAGTGGGCACGGAGAGGGGCCGTGTGTGGGCATTTAAGGCCCTCCCCGCTCTGCTTTCACAGGTACAATGAGCTCTCAGTGGGGCTTTGGGGGTAGTTTTACTCCGGAGCTTTATGTGCGTAGTTTTTCCACTGCCTGGACAGGTCACACTACTAGGTGTAACCGTATATTCTACGTGCCTGAGTCAATCACCGATACGGTTACAGTCAATCACTTCTCAAAGCGAGTTCCTGGGTGGTGGGGGTGGGCTTGGGGTGGCTGTGCCCCCGCTGGGGCCATCCAACCCCAAGGAGTCTGTTGTCGTGGCTCAGCTCTGCCTTCGGGTCTGGAAATCCAAGGCAAGGCGTTTCCTGGCATTTTACCAGGAATGCCTGTTACTTTCTGGGCATAAGAGATTAAAAAAGTGTTCCATAAAGGGGAGAAAGGAGTGATGTAAACGATCCTATCAAAGGGGAACCGCTCTCCAGTGTGATCCCAGCAGAGCAGCCATGGGCATTGCTATAGGTGCCAACCTCCCTGGAGGTGAAAGCACAAACCTCGTGAAGGGCTCCCGAGAGCCACCTGCCTGTCCCCCTCCTCCTCCGCCTCCTGAGCATGCGGTGTGTCAGAGACCCGGAGTAACAGACTGCGGTATGGAGAGAACTTAAATGTGGCGGGGAAATCAATCAATTCCGTCTCTCTACTGCGGGGATGGAGAAAGCATTACGTAGCAACTCTGTGCTTGTGGAAAATTTCCGTCTTTCAAAGGCTGGTCAAAATGTGGGTAAACTCATCCCTGTCTGGCTGATGCCAAAGGGAGCTGCTGGAATCTTGTTTGGGGTAATTGATCAGGAAAAATAAGCTCATTTCACCATCTGTTCAGTGATGAGACCTGAGGGGTGTGTGGCTGTTGTGTTCTTTGGGCATCCAAACACAGCGGTGAAAGAGCATTCGGAAGTTACCCTGTGGGTGAAAAGTGAAGCCAGGCCGCAGCCCCCTGGTCAGCACGCTCCCAGTGGGTCCCTGAGCCAGGGCCTCTCCTAGCTGGTTTTATGGGGCCAGTTTCCACTTTTTCTTTGCTTTATAGGGCCCCTGGTCTGATGTGCTCTGATCCAGGGTGCGCTGATTTACAGCTGCGCTAGAAAGCCTGTTGAACTGTTTGGGTGTCAGTAAGTCTCCCTTACTTTTCTCAGTAGAAAACTCAAACCGTTTATTTAAAGCCTGCTTCCTGTATTTGTCAGAGACCACCTGTAATATTTCATCTCTTATTTGTTTTCTTATCCAGTATTGGTTCTCTTGCTCTGCAAACAGCAACCGATTCAGACTTGGCCCCACACAGACCCTGATTCTTGCCCTTACAGGAAATAGGACGTCAGGAGCCACTAGGCCAGACACCCTTTGCTCTGGGGTCAGGTGGTTCTGGAGCAGCGGGTCCGTATCTGTCTTTAATATTTCACTTCCTGGGTCAGACTCCTTCACCTGGCCCTAACGTGGATGACTGCGGCTCTTGGCCTCCTTCTGGGCCACCTGCAAAGCCCCGCAGCTCGGGTCATTGTTTCACCTGCGTGTGACCAGGGGCCGAATTCATCTGCCCTCTCTTGTTGCCCTCATTTGTAATTATTTCACAGTGTATGTCCAGGCTTGCAACTTAACATACGTTTTCACGGGTCATTGAAAATTATCCATGATAATGAAATTGATCTCGCTGATTTTTATCTTATGAATATTTAGGTGATTTCTTTCTAGTCTTTTCCCATGCATAGTTATAAACATCCTACAGTGTGAATATAAACTCACTAGTGTGGAGATTTTGGGGGCTAGTAAATATTTCCTAGAACGCGATTTTTAAGGACTGCATCATATGGGTGTGACTTAACCAACGTCCAGTGGTTGATACATAGTTTTACTACGTGTGAAATTATTTCCTACGCTAAACTTGGGTTCGAGATTATTTGGTGAAATGTACGGACCTTTTTGGGACTCTTTATGCTATATCGCCAGGGGGCTGTGCGGTTATTCGTGCACACTTCCATCAGCGGTGTGCCGGACTTCTGTTTCGTCACGGTTGTGCCAGAGTGACTGATTTGGGTAATTTGATAAATTAAAACAATATAATATTAGTGTTTTTGTTGTACTTCTTTAATTACATGGTGAGACTGGCTTTTTCGTTTATTTGGTAGCATTTAAAAATTCTCTTTTGTGACTTGATCATTTACCCTCTTTGTCTATCGTCTGCGATGGTCTTACGGTTTTATTTTCAATTTGGATGATGCGTGCATCGGAATGGTGCTCTGACCAACGGAGCTGCCCCTGGTGCCCCTGGCGCCCCTGGTGCACAAAGCTGGGAGGTGCCGCCAGCTCCTCTCGAGCAGTGGCATCAGGACACGGACAGCTAAGTGAACATTGTCCCCAACCTCGTCACCTGCGGTCTTCACGTGGCGGCCGATAGCCACAGCAAGACGCAGCAGCTTCTGCTTGTGGAACTGGATCTCGGACCCCACCCCATCGATGTGTGCCACCGTGTTCCCACTGTGGGTCGGTGAGGAAGGGAACCTGCCAGCCTCCCTCAGGCCTGGGCCCAGGGTTCCTGGGATCTGCTTGGTCAGAGACACTGCAGCCAAAAGGCTTCCTGCTTCTCGGCCCAGCTTCTCATCCTTGAGTTTGAGTGGATCGAAGCCTGACGGTGCTCGAGGAGGGTTTGTCCTTCGAGGGTCAGAGCTCTCGGAGCTGCCCTGCGGCACCACCGTCTCTGACGACTGCCGGAGCCTGTGCTGGCCGTGGGGCAGGACCACCCGCCCACCCTGCCTTTGCCGCGTGCGGCAGGAGACTTCGCTGCTCCGGTGCCTCCCCCGAGGAAAGCGGAAGAGTCCTCGAGGTCCCAGGCCACACAGTCAGAGGCTTCATCTGTCCAGGAGCCGGTCGTACCCGCCATCGCAGGCGTCTGACTGACCGAGATCCCTGGTACATTCCTGCCAGGGCCACTCCGACGGGTCTTCCTGTTTATAACACCCGCCTCTCTGCTGGGCCCAGTTCTCCAGACAGCAAGACATACATTTCCGATGCTCTTTTCCTGCCGGCCGTCATTTGGAATAATTTCTCCATCTGTGCTTAAAGAAATTTTCCAGGAAATTGACAGATGGAGCAAACACCAAATGCCAGAATATGGTGCTTCTATCTCATTGAGGCCATCAGCCAACTGGGTCATAAATTCACGTATGGAGCAGTTATTGTTTTGTATGTATTCATTTTCTGTTTCCTCTTGTTGATCAATAAAGTTCTTTTGATTGTTTTAATCGAATGGTCAGTATTTTATGCTGAGAAGGATATGCACTATTGTTTCTGAAACTACTCATTTTTATTTTGCTTTTTACTTTCATTTTTGGCTCTTGATTGAAATAGCGGAAAATATGTCAGTCTTAATATTTAAAAAAATTGATTTTAGAGAAAGGAGGGTGGGGGGGAGAGAGAGAAAGAGAGAAACATCGATTTTGTTGTGCCACTTATTTATGCATTCACTGGTTAATTCTGGTACGTGCCCTGACCGGGGATTGAACCCACAGCCTTGGCATATTGGGATGATGCTCCAACCAACTGAGCACCTGGTCGCCCAGCATTATTGTTGAATATTTCATTTTTCATATCTTAGCCAGTTGCTGAGGATGGAGAAAGTTCCCTCCTTTTTCTCTTAGTTCTTCTGGCTAGTAAGATTATTAAAATGACATAAGGCAGATTAACAGGAAAAAAACCCCAAGTTTTAATACATGCACATGGCATAGAATTCACATGGTCACAAACATTTCAGAGACAGTGAGGCAACCTGAGACGTGTGTGTCATTCTGTACCAAGGAGGTCCAGAATGAACCTACCCTGACTGAGCAGGGGTCTAGAACCCCACAGGGAAGCCAGGCAAATCTGCAAGGGGGTAAAAAAGTTAGTGCTTAGGCAACAGATGTTCGCTGGGCCGTCTTGAAACAACAGGACCCAAGGAGGACTTCCATCACAGGGCTTGCTGGGTTCCTCCCAGTCTGCCATCCCAAGTCCGGATGGAACTAGAGTCATCTATGACGTCTGCCTTCCTAGAGCGGCGCCTGTCTCTTCAATTCTTTCAGGCAGTGAAGGCAAGGCCGAAATTTATTCCTGAGCCTTCTGGGCCTTGATTGGTTTTAGCTTGAAATAACGTATATGCCAGTGTGACACATTTTAGGGAGGCCTTCTGAACCCCCTGACTCCCACTAGGAAGTATGATGCTCATATCCTTAGGCCACCTATGTTACTAATCAAATCTAAACTCAAACTGCGAAGCTTCAGAGTCCCCAACATGGCAGACCGTGACCTCCAGGAGAGCAGGGCATCGCGGCCACGGAGGCGATCCTCGAAAGTCCTCCACACCCCTCGGGGCTCCAGGAAGCTGCATGGTACATTTTATACGCTTACCTTTTTCTTATTTTATTTCCAGCCATCTAGTTCTCAAAAAGTAAAAGCAAAGGAGCAGTAAGAAGAGAAAATACTCATGAGGGTGAGGAAGCGGCGTGGGGAGGAAAGGGAGGAAATATTTGAAACGCAGAAGCAAACACCTGTCTTTGCTACCTCGGGGCTTTATTGCCCCAAGAATTTTATGAGCAATTTCAGGAGCAGAACTTAGCCAGTTGCCACTCATAACCAGAATTCAAAGGGAAAATGTGATGCATATGATTTCTCCAGATACTGGTTTTTCACACCGTGGGTACCGGGACTTCAAAGCAGAGCCAGCTCATGCAGATTGGGAAGTGGGCACCCTTTCTGATTTAAACTGAACCTGTGCTTTGTTTCTCAGAGACCAGAGGTTGTCCTCAGTATATTCCCATACCCCCTTAAAGCTTTCGAGCCTCAAATGCCTAAACATTTATATAAACCTTTATTGTCTAATACCACAGTACTAGCTCCTAGCCACATGCAGCTCCTTAAATTAGTTAAAATTAAAAACCTTATTTCCTCGGTCATGACAGCCACATTTCAAGTGCTTAAAAGCCGCATGTGGCTGGTGACCAGCATAGTGGACAATGAAGGCACAGGCTGTCCCTGTCGTCATAGAAAGTTCTGTTGGGTGGCATTGGGTACATAGTAGGTGCTCAACAATGTTTCTTCATCGCCCTTCCCCTCCTCCCTTACTCCTCAAGGGCATGGTTTATAGAGACTAGCAGGGTAGCAATTCTCTTGATTTACTTTTGGATTAACTAACTGGGCTTACGTCCCACCCTCCGGGGTTCATTTTCTGCAAAGCCACTTGGATTTATTGCTCTACCTTCTCGACCTCCTGAAGAGTTTACGATTTCAGGCCAGGATAAGGGGCAGCTTGCTTATTTACCCTGTGGCAAGCTGCAAACGGGGTTTTGGGGGGAAGGTAGGTAAGGCTTCCAGGATGCCCCCTCAGCGTAGCCATCTGTAATTTCATAAACAGTTTAGCATCGTTTCAGAGTCACTCTACAGCTCAGAGTAAATACATTTTCTTTCTTTTGTCTGTAACTGATGTGGTCTTCCTGGTAATTGCAACTTACTATGTAGCAGGATAAAAAAAAAAAGACAAGTAACTTTTACTTTTCGATGGTTTTAGATTTAGCCTCAAGCAATCACGGATAATTTTCAGTCTCTCTTTGGCGTAATTGCTTACTCAGTCAAATTTCCACTTGCACTTCTCCTTTGAAGGCGAGTCAAGTGCAAATAGATGGCGCCTGGGTGGATTTGAAGGCAGGGTGTGGTTTCTGTAACCCCAGAGGTGGCAAACGTCCCCAAGCCTTTGATTTCCTAGATGGGGCCGCGGATGCCCTAGCGGTTAAATGAGAGGCCAGGCAGGGACAGAGCCAGGACCCAAACCCAGATTCCCGACATATGTTGCGTCGGGTGCTCTCACTTCGCTTGCTGTTCTATCCGTCCCTTCCCTCCAGGGCTCCCTGTGTGGCATCCTGACTGTGTAGGGGTCCACATGCTGTGTAATTAATTATTAGTAAACTGAGTGTGACTTTGCAACACATCTGTAAAGCCTTGCAGTGGGCCATTCTCCTGGCTCAATACATACCCGCCAGAGGACGACATTCCTTTGTTAAGGTATGAATATAAACTCCTGAACTCTTTACCCCAGAGAGCCACGTGATGTCTGACCCTTTGTGAAGCCAAGGGATAAACCCAGTGGTTCCACTCAGTCAGGAGGTCAATAGGCCAGACCCTCCCTGCGTGTTGCCTGACCCGAAGGGCGGGCGTGACTCAGTGCTGGCTGATCTCCGCCCCTCCAAGGGGCTTCCCCAGCGTGGGGCCAAGCGGATGGGAGGCAGCTTCAAAGCGTGTCTCGCCCTGTGGAGAAGCACAGTGTGGAGTGGGGTGGCTGCCAAGTCCACTGCCTGAATGTTCATTTCACTTGGCTTGTGTCCAATTGACAGAAAAAAACAAACAGCAAACCAAAAAAAAAACAAAACAAAACAGGTCAGGAGTGAGTAATGGATTACTCCCGCCCTTGGAGTTTGTCAGCAGCCAGGGATTTATCTGGTCTAGGGGGCTCCGGGGGAGCCCCCAAGGTTCTCAGGGGTGGGTCTGTTTTCCAGGCCACTTGGTGACCCTGAGCATGGCTGCTTGATGGGGTCTGTTCTGGAATGGGTCAGGGGGAACGGTTTGAACCAGGCCCCGGCAGAACGGTTGAGATCACTTAATTACTACTCCGCGGCAGTGTGGCAGGCTGGCTGTCTCTCCGGGCGAAAATGAGCAGGAATCTGAGATGGCTGAAGAGACCAGGAGGCCGTTCTTAACTTCATTCCCGATCGCAGCAGCCTTGGCAGTCGCAGCAGCCACACTGCTCAAGGGACACCAGGCGGCGCACAGTCGGGTGCCCAGGAAGGGGCCCCACGCAGAGACGCCCAGACTCTCTGAGGTTGTGAAGTTCCGTTGCTGCAACCCAGGCACGTGCCTGGCCGCCTCATGTTTGCTGCATGGAGCAACCTGCTCCAGCGTTAACGCGAAGCGGCCCATTTTCTCCTGTGCCCCCTCCTGTGCACATGGAAACTCAGCTGCCTAAAATATATGCGGTTCAAGAGGCATCCCCACATGGCTGAGCAGGGTGAGGAAAATATCAAACTGGGTTTTCACCCTTGTGCTGAGGCTGCAAGGCCTGGTGATGTGTTGTATTGGGAGGGTGGGAGAAAGGAGCTTCCAATGATGTCTCTGGAGAGAGAGAATCACTTAGGGAGAAACGTGAGGGGCTTGGCGGGCACGCTGGAGTCGAGGAGGAGTGGACTCGTGTGCAGGGAGGAGCAGGAGTGGACTGTCTGAAGGCCCAGGAGAGAGGAGACTGTTCACGGATCTCTGTGACTACGGCGGTGGGACGCAGGAAGCTGAAAGCTTGAGACAGACTCAGGGCCCAGGTGAGAAAGACCGCGTTTCCGCGGTGCCTGGGTCGCTCAGTGGAGGCGTTTGGCACCAGCACGGGAAGCCTTCCCTGCAGAGGCCTCCTTTTCTGTCACAGCCCCGGGGCATCTGCTTGTGCCTTGCTGGGCCACAGGCACTCTGTTCAGCGAAGGTCACAGAGCCGGTGCCTAGGGCTCCAGCTTCCGCACCCCATGGCCTGGGTTCAAGTCCCAGCCGTGACTCCCAGGGGGACTTCTAAAGTCCACTGCCTACTAAAGGGAGCCAGAATTCCTGCGAGAAGTGGCTGACGCCAGGAGTGGAACGTGGAAAGATGCTCCTGGAATATGTTCGGGTGCCGGAGAGCAAGGAAGGGCTCAGAGAATCATGAGGACTTGACTGAGGGCTGAGGAAATGCTCAGGTTCCCTGTGGGAAGCTCAATGGGGAAACAGTTGAGCATTAAAAAGATAACGATGGTACTGAATTATAAAATGTGGATTTAAAAAAGAACAAGTTCACAGCAGCGCTCTGAAGAGGATGTGGGAAGTGGAAGGAGAGAGCTGTGT